TTGTTTTTCGGTCTGCTACTATTCACCCATTACTATTCATACGCTCCTAAATCCTAAACCATCAATTTTATTTATTTTATGTTTTTTTCATGTTAACTTTTTCTTTTTCCCTTACCATAACACCAAACAATCACTTCATGTTCTACAAAACGTATTTGCAGTTAAAAACTTTCTTATAATCCATGTCAAAACATAGTAAAAAAAACAAGGATATAAATAAATATAAATATAAAGGTATTTGAATCTAAATAAAGTAAGGTAGGAAGGAAAAAAAATTCAATGGAAAAAGAAAAATACACAAAATAAATAAATAAAATAGAAAATGATACAATCGGTAATTTACTACTGATTGTAAAGAGGATTGGTCGCTACGAAAAGTAGCTATAGAAGCCTTTATTAGTTGGTACTTTTCCACTGATTATCTAGAAGACTAGTCGGTACAAAAGTAGCTATATGACCTCTTATTAGTCAGTACTTTGCTACTAATTATCTACAAGATTAGTCGCTCAAAAAAGTAGCTATCAAACTCTTCTTAGTCGCTATCATCATACCGATCCTCCCTTTTCAATTTGTTTTCTTTTTTAGTTATTATTATTATTTATTTTGATAATTTTTCTTTTATTTCTCTTAGCATAACAACAAACTATTATATTTATGTACTTCAAAATAAATTTTTCCGTGCAAAATCTATTATAATTCATATTTAAACATTTGTAACCAAGGATTTAAAACCTAAATTTAAAGATATTTGAATTTAATAGTGGTTACTCAAATAAATAAATAAATTGGAATAGGGAAAGATCGGTATCATGCTACCCATCCTTGCCCAACCGTACATAAATCACTGTTCAATCTATTTATTTTTATCTTCGCCTCATCGTGAAGTTTTGAAAATTAAGATAAGTCTTTCCTTTTGATATTTTTGAGGGTGGAACCCAATTTGACAATGTTTTAGGCCTCACTATTATATTTTTCAACTTATTTTTTTAGTTTTTGGCTTAAATCATCTACTAAATATATATTTATTACTCAATAAATTGTAAATCTGATTCCAGATACCTTATAAAGTTTTCCTTTATGCTCATGAAAAAATATTTTTCAAAAATAAAAATATTTGTATTTTTGAGGAAAAAACGTGGGTTAACACTCATGGTTTTTAGTCGGTTTTGCAAATTCGTACATAAATCATCATTCAATCTATTTATTCAACTTCGCCGATCACCGTGAAGTTTTGAAAATTAATGTAAGACTTTCCGTTGGTATTCTTGAGGGTGATACCCCTTTTTTATAATGTTTTGCGCCTCCCTACTATATTTTTCACTTACTTTGTTAGTTAAATATTCTACTAAATATACATTTGTTACTCAATAAATCGTAAAACTGCTTCAAACACCTTATAAGGTATGCTCATGGAAAATATTTCACAAAAAAAAAAAATTCACACTTTTCACAAAAAACATGGGTGTAAACTCATTCAACCCCATACTAATTCCCATAAAAAACTGTAAGAGCAGCCATCATACTTCACATGCCAACTCTCATAAAAGTATAAAATATCTTTTATCTTAATCTCATTCAACCCCATACTAATTCCCATAAAAAACTGATCTAATAAGAGAGTTTATCGAAACTTCCCTCCTAGTTTGTTTCAACACACACTCAAACAAATTGCACGGTAAATAAGATGATGTTATTATTATTTTTTTGGTCGGATTAATATCCAAAATACAACTTATCAAATTCAAGAACTAAGTAATCCGACCTCATCTAATCTAATCCGATTAACTAAAGTAATCATGCACGACCAGCTGCTTCTGATCTTTTTCAAAGCTGTAAAGCACAGAAGTTGCTTCTTCTTTTTGTTCAGGTTGCTGCTTCACAACTGAGGGGCGCTGGTCCTCCTCCATGAAAATCAACAGCCGTCCATCTCTCCTGACTTTGGTCATGGTGAATCTCGGCCGTCCGTTCCCGTTCAGCGTGGACAGCAATGGCGGGAAGTCCCTCCTCATTCCGTCGCGAGCTGCTGCCATTACCGCAAGTAGTAGTCCCGCACTATTTTTGTTAGGCACTAATTTCTCTCTGGTTTCTCGTATCACGAAAGAAAAATGGTTGTTCAACCCAATTGCACGAATATTTATAGCGATTTTGGTTCTTCCCTCCTGGTTCAAACATGAAATATATCGGTTTGGACTTTCCTAATTAGTTAATTTACTCTCCTATTTAGATTTGGAAAGCTGTTAATGAATTGTTAGCACCACATTAATTAATAAAACAACACTAATTGACCAAATTAATTGCAAACGTATTGGGCAAAGCAGATGTGGAGTGTCTAGTATGTATGTACTCCGAGTTGTTTTTCATTTTGTTCAATCGTTGGTGGGGTTTTGAGGGGGAGGGAAGAAAGGGGTGGAGGACTCTTGAACTCGGTGAGGAAGTATGTATTTCGAGTTTGGATCTCAATTTCTGTACTTTTTCTTTTTTCGAAACATACTTCTTGTTTTGATGGAAATGTACAATATCCATTAAGATGCTGATAAAATACATACAGGAAGATTTTATAATATCGCTTGCATGATAGTGTACCCCCTGCAAAACTCTATAGAAAAATTTGTACAGGGTTACCCAAAAATTTTCAAAAGCATCTATTGACTATATTCAAAGTCATTCGTAGGGAAGTTCCCTCTATCGTTGTACTAAAAAAGTTGAAGGTATTTGTAGAACTTGATAAGGGATGCATGTTGTATACGCAGGAGAAAATAGAGGAGTCGGTTGTACCTCTTAGGAGGTGGTGTTCCTCCCTCGAGGATGATTTGGGAGGCATTTAGCATTGCCCAATTGGAGTAAATACAACATGCAAAATGCCGACTCTCTTTGCACATCGAGAGTATACTCTTTAATATGTATCTTTCTTCACACGTGTCAAGTCAAGTGAGACAAGAGATAGAGAAAAGAGAAATATAAAGTCCGTTATAGCTAAGCTTCTTTCAACACTTAAATTTAAAGTATTATACTAAATACGACATTGGATGTTCTAAGATCACCTTTTCACTTATTGTCGGGTGTCCAAAACTGTATATGCCTTACTGGAAAAAACCGAGAAAATTTAAGTAGGAGCACCTAACATATTTCACATGTCAACTCTCATAAAAATATGAAAGAGAAAATTGTAGTAATGGTTTCTCAACATTGATCAAATTGGAGCAATGGTCCCTCAACTAAAAATCTATTACCATTGGTCCCTCAACTCATCAAAATATGTAGCTATGGTCCTTTTCGTCAAATTCGTCAAAATTTTGTCAAAATGAGTTATGTTGGAATGACCATTGCTACAATTGGGGTCCCTCAACTCATCAAAATGTGTAGCTATGGTCTTTTTTGTCAACATCGTTAGAATTTTGTCAAGATGAGTTATGTTAGAAGGACTACTACTACAATTGGGTTAAAGTTGAGAGATCATTGCTCCAATTAAGTTAAAGTTGAGGGATCATTTCTCCAATTAGATTAAAGTTGAGAGACCAATGATAATGGATTTTTAGTTAAGGAACCATAGCTACACCTTTTGATGAGTTTAGGGACCAATGGTAATGAATTTTTAATTGAGGAACCATTGCTTCAATTAAGTTAAAGTTAAGGCATCATTACTACGATTTACTCAATATAAAATATTTGGGTTAATCTCATTTTACTACCCTAAAGTTTTTTTATTTTCAACATTTGATACATGAAGTTTTTTTCATCCCAGAGTAGTACCTGAAGTCGTAATATTGGGACAGTCTCATACATCTGTTAAGGTTGCTGTTAAATCAACTGTTAAGTGGTGACATGGCGCCCACGCGGTCAATAACTGGACACCACGTATCAATATGGGCCCACATGAATATTAAAAATTAAAAATATTAATAAAAATTAAAAAACCGAAAAAGAATTAAAAACTAAAACAGATTTTCTTCTTTCCAAACCCATGGCCGATTGCTTCCTCCACCCCTCCTCCGCCTCCCATACTGATTCAACCCCATACTAATTTCTTTCAGGTTGAATCAGTATGGCGCCACTTGTCAATATGACCACACACAAATATTTAAAAAATTAAGAAAATTAAAAATTAAAAAAAAATTGAAAAACTAAAAAATTTAAAAAACTGATCTAATCAGAGAGTATCGAAGCTTCCCTCCTAGTTTGTTTTAACACAAACATTCAAACAAATTGCAGAGAATAAGATGTTTTTTTTTTTTTGAGATTAATATCCAAAATACACCTTATTTAATTCAAAGATTAAGTAAAACCTCGCTCAATTGTGATTGGCCCGATTGTGATAGCACCTATCATTGCACCAAATGTCAAAATGGAGCCAAACATTAAATACTGCATACAGATGCACAGGAACAGAAGTATTTTCAGTTGTTGAAAATCCCGAAGATTATGATGCTGAATGTTACATTTTGTTTCTTGAATCGAAAACTTCACCCTATGTTTACAGGTAGCGGCTCAGGGATCGAAAGCAATGGTTCGACAGCCTTGAATCCAAATGAAACGTCACAATGCATATTCTCATTCATTCACTACATTACCATGCATGCATTTCGAGTCCTAATCACCTTCGTACCTCTGCGAAAGAAAAACCGAGATCATTCATGATGCCAGATTGAGTAGGCGACGAGTAACCAACCCGGAAGACGTCATACAAAGACTGTCAAAACCGAACAATATCAAAACGACTTGACTGTCAGAAGATTGCAACAAAAGCTGAATACATTAATCAAGGTTAGGCTAGTTAGAGTTTTTGTTTAAATGAGAGTAAGTTAGAATATTGCTTGTCAACCAAAAATACGTTAATCAAGGTTAGGCTAGTTAGTCAAGACAATGTGTTCAACTCCTTGCATCTAAGTTTTGCATCATTTGATGAAAGCACTCCAGTCGGAGTCTCGTTTCCGTAGTGAAGTAGTTTAGAATATTGTTGTGTTAGGCAGAAAGATTAATCAAATTTTCGGTGCTTGATGAAAATGACACACAGGAATGTCCTGAAGGCCACCATTGATGTTCCTGAAGCAGGAGAAGTCAACTTCCATTGCACCCACCTCCATCATCTTGGTGAGAGCTGGAGGATGAGGCCGATTAATGCTATAATGCAATCAAGCAATGAGCCCCACATCTTGGCTGGAGGCCTCAATTCTTTGGATGAGTCAGACTACTCTCAAGAAAGATGGACTGATATTGTAAAGGTGAGACACGATGACACTTTCAAATTATCAGAAATTCTCTGTGCAAGACCTCCAGTTTTTGCCAAAAGGACCGATTTTGTATGGATAACACGTCTATACATTTTGTTTAACATGTAATCTATCAATGTTTTCGATAGTTCGTCTTTTAATAAATGAATAAAAAGAATGTCATGTTCAGAGAAGAACTGTACAAATTATGTACCTAACAACGCTTTGATTTGTTTTGGCTGCAGTATTATGAGGATATGGGTAAACCAAGGCCTAAGGTTGAAGTAATGAGATACTTGAAGAGCAAGCAGTACACAGATGCAAAGGACTTTGAAGGAGAATATGAGTCAGTAGTTATGATTGCTAAAGGCCAAAGTAAACCAACCCGAATTAGCATCTGCAAACTCACCTTACAAATTTGTTCCTGGATCATACTCAGTGTTTTCTTCCAAAGGGACATCAGATCATCATATGGTAAGAGTTGATGTTGTAAAAGTGGATAATTGTGGTGAAGAAAATAACAGCAGAAGAAGGCAGCTGAACCAAAAAGTTATCAAAATAACAAACCCTACTTCCCAGTCAAAAGGAATATGGAAAATCCCACATATATGAAAAGAGCGTGCTATCTACACATCTTTTTTTACCTTTCACACAATCTTTTCAATTTTCAATCATCAGGTCGAATGAAATGAAAAAGATCAAATGATATAAATTAACTAGGAAATGTGTAAAAGATAAGCGAGGTGTGCGGATAGCACAACCCATATGAAAAAAACATATAGATTAATAATTGACTTTTACTTTTACAGTTTAGATTTAGGGTTTGGTTTGTTGAAGGAAGGGCAGGTTCTGGCTTGGGATCTGCATTTATCTCCTACAGTTAGTAAAATATTTACAGTCTAAATGGGTTGTTAGGGATACAACAAGTCAAAGGAAGAGGTGGAATTTGGTGTGGTTGGTTAGCAATTTTGTACTTCTTCAAATTGTACAGCAGAGTGAAAAAGTTATATATTTTGAGAGTGATTTCATTGTTCTTCGCTTTCTTTTTATTTGCTTCTCATTTTGTTACCCCCAACAATAAATTTTGAAACGTGAATCTACTCTCTTAATTTAGCTTTTGTCACTCTATTGATATGAAGTGTCACAAGTTAAATCAGGGACGAATAATGATTTTAAAATGAGCTGAGGTAGTTTAAACTTGATGTAGAAAACTATAAGAGAACTCGATGAACCATGATTTTAAAATGAGTTGAGATTGGTGCCAGGGGGTTGGCATTTATAGGCCACTATCAATATGGAATAGAGTTTAGTTTTAATCTCAGGAGTCCATCATGGTTGGCTGAATGAAGCATTGCTACTAGGGGTGGGGCATTTGTAATCCGCTATCAACCCTGACATAATTTATACTAAAGTCATCACTTTTAACGTAGTAACCCCCTTTAAGAAAAACAAAAAATTTCTCCACCGTGCTGCGGTGAGCCAAAAAAGTTTAAGTACGTCAGGTGTTGAAACGCGACGAACTCAGGGTGTTATTTTTCGGTCTGCTACTATTCATACACTCCTAAACCCTAAACCATCAATTTTATTTATTTTATGTTTTTTTCCCTTACCATAACACCAAACTATCACTTCATGTTCTACAAAACATATTTGCAGTTAAAAACTTTCTTATAATCCATGTCAAAACACAGTAAAAAACAAGGATATAAATAAATATAAATCTAAAGGTATTTGAATCTAAATAAAGTAAGGTAGGAAGGAAAAAAAATTCAATGAAAAAAGAAAAATACATAAAATAAATAAATAAAATAGAAAATGATACGATCGCTATTTTGATACTGATTGTAAAAAGGATTAGTCGGTATAATTATAGCTATAAAACCTCTTATTAGTTGGCACTTTGTTACTGATTGTCCGCCCAATTGGTCGCTCAAAAAAGTAGCTATAGAATTCTTAATTAGTCGCTATTATGTTACCGATCCTCCCTTGTCAATTTTTTTCTTTTTTAGTTTTTATTATTATTTATTTTTGTTAATATTTCTTTTATTTCTCTTACTATAAAAACATACTATCATATTTATGTACTTCAAAATATATTTTTCCGTGCAAAATCTATTATAATTCATTTTTAAACATTTGTAACCAACGATTTAAAACCTAAATTTAAAGATATTTGAATTTAATAGTTGTTACTCAAATAAATAAATAAATTGGAATAGGGAAAGATCGGTACCATGCGACCCATCCTTGCCCAACTATACATAAATCACCGTTCAATCTATTTATTTTCATCTTCGCCTCATTGTGAAGTTTTGAAAATTAAGATAAGTTTTTCCTTTGAGATTTTTGAAGGTGGAACCCAATTTGACAATGTTTTGGGCCTCACTATTATATTTTTCACTTATTTTTTTAGTTTTCGACTTAAATAATCTACTAAATATACATTTATTAGTCAATAAATTGTAAATCTGCTTCCAGATACCTTATAAAGTTTTCCTTTATGCTCACGAAAAAATATTTTTCAAAAATAAAAATATTTGTATTTTTGAGAAAAAAAATGTGTGTTAACACTCATGGTTTTTAGTCGGTTTTGCAAATTCGTACATAAATCATCGTTCAATCTATTTATTCACCTTCGCCGATCACCGTGAAGTTTTGAAAATTAATGTAAGACTTTCCGTTGGTATTCTTGAGGGTGATACCCCTTTTTTATAATGTTTTGGGCCTCCCTACTATATTTTTCACTTACTTTGTTAGTTAAATATTCTACTAAATATACATTTGTTGCTCAATAAATCGTAAATGTGACATCCCACATTGCCCAAGGGAGTGATCCTTATATGTATATTCTCATCTCTACCTAGCACGAGGCTTTTTGGGAGCTCACTGGCTTCGGGTTCCGTAGGAACTCCGAAGTTAAGCGAGAAGGGAATAGAGCAATCCCATGATGGGTGACCCACTGGGAAGTTGCTCGTGAGTTCCCAAAAACAAAACCGTGAGGGAATGGTAAGCCCAAAGCAGACAATATCGTGCTACGATGGTGGAGCGGGCCCGGAAAGCAATCCGCCCCGGGCGGGGATGTGATAGTAAAACTGCTTCAAACGCCTTGCTCACGGAAAATATTTCACAAAAAAAAAATTCACACTTTTCACAAAAAACATGGGTGTAAACTCATGGTTTTTAGTCGGTTTTAAAGATTCGTACTAAAATCATCGTTCAATCTATTATTTTCAGCTTCACCTCACTGTGAAGTTTTGAAAATTAGTGTAAGACTTTTTGTTAATATTCTTGAGGGTGGAACCCCATTTTGACATGATTTTGGGCATCGCTACTATATTTTTCACTTATTTTTTTAGTTTTCGGCTTAAATATTCTACTAAATATACATGAATTGCTCTACAAACCGTAAAATCGCTTTCAAATACCTTATAATGATTTCCTTAATGTTCATAGGAAATATTTTGAGAAAATAAAAAATTTGCATTTTTCACAAAAAAACGTGGGTTAACACTCACAGTTTTTAGTCGGTTTTGCAAATTCGTAAATAAATCATCATTTAATCTATTTATTTTCACCTTCGCCTCACCTTGAAGTTTTGAAAATTAAAGTAAGACTTTCCGTTGAGAACAATAAAATTGATGTACACATGGTGTAGGGACAAGTTCTTACAAAGGCCGAGCGCAAGTATCTCCTTTGAAACAAATCGAGCAAGTTGGCTTGAGGGAGCCGATCAAGAGTTGTGATATACTCCTGCCAAGGTATTTCACGGTATTACTTGAAATGCATGATCTTCGCAATGCTCTAACATATTGTCAGTATGGTTTAGGAGATGGAGTGCAGGAATTAAATATAAGAACCTGGATTTCTGCTGCTTCATCTAATATGTCAGCGTCTTTGCTGCGAAGTTTCTGCAGTGCAACCTCAAACTCTTTCTGGCGTCCTGTCTTTGCCTACATCCATGACGAAATCATAATGTATGTTTTCATTTTACTGAATGTTTTCCATCATATAGACAGTAAAATGAAAAAGAGTACTTTCTTACCAACCATCTTGGAGACTCGGGAATGAAAAGGAAACCGAAAATGATCACAGCACAGGGAACAATTCCTGCAATCGTCACACATGTGAGAACTCCGCCACTTAATTACATATCATAAGGTATTCAAACTCAAAGCACATTTTGTCTAAGAAATTCACAGATTATTGCTAAAGCCCTCGAATGTACTACTACCCCGATAATGAAGGAAACGGACACTCCAGTAACGATCATTAACTCTAAAATACGCATTAGGCAGCATTAGTTGTGGTCCAAACACGTGTAGGTATCACGGATTTCATTTCTTATTACATGTTTACCTGATTTACAGCAGTTAGTGTTCCCCGTAAGATTTTTGGGCGCAATCTCAGCTACGAAAACCGGTACCTTATCAACCACCCGATGTTGCATCAGACTATGTCAATAACATGTGTTGTCTTTAAATAGTCATGTTTTGGTCTCACAAAATACTCAAATGCAGAGGAGGGTGATAACTCACAATGTACGAAAATGCTCCACTTCCGTACCCAGTTGCCACTCTCCCGATGTCCAGAGACTGTCAAACTGGAAGAAGTCATACAAAGACTGTCAAAACCGAACAATACCAAAACGACTTGACTGTCAGAAGATTGCAACAAAAGCTGAATACGTTAATCAAGGTTAGGCTAGTTAGAGTTTTTGTTTAAATGAGAGTAATTTAGAATATTGCTTGTCAACCAAAAATACGTTAATCAAGGTTAAGCTGAATACATTTTGTTATTAACATGCAATCTATCAATGTTTTCGACAGTTCGTCTTTTAATAAATGAATAAAAAGAATGTCATGTTCAGAGAAGAACTGTACAAATTATGTACCTAACAACGCTTGGATTTGTTTTGGCTGCAGTATTATGAGGATATGGGTAAACCAAGGCCTAAGGTTGAAGTAATGAGATACTTGAAGAGCAAGCAGTACACAGATGCAAAGGACTTTGAAGGAGAATATGAGTCAGTAGTTATGATTGCTAAAGGCCAAAGTAAACCAACCCGAATTAGCCTCTGCAAACTCACCTTACAAATTTCTTCCAATGGGACATCAGATCATCATATAGTGAGAGTTGATGTTGTAAAAGTGGGTAATTGTGGTGAAGAAAGAAACACAGAAGAAGGCAGCTGAAGCAAAAACTTAACAAGATAACAAACCCTACTTCCCAGTCAAAAGGAATATGGAAAATCCCACATATATGAAAAGAGCGTGCTATCTATGCACCTTTTTTTTACGTTTCACACAATCTTTTCAATTTTCAATCATCAAGTCGAATAAAATGAAAAAGATCAAATGATATAAATTAACAGAATGTGTAAAAGATAAACGAGGTGTGCGGATAGCACAACCCATATGAAAAAAAACATATAGATTAATAATTGACTTTCACAATATAGATATAGGGTTTGGTTTGTTGAAGGAAGGGCTGGTTCTGGCTTGGGATCTGCATTTATCTCCTACAGTTAGTAAAATATTTACAGTCTACATGGGTTGTTAGGGATACAACAAGTCAAAGGAAGAGGTGGAATTTGGTGTGGTTGGTTAGCAATTTTTTACTTCTTCAAATTGTACGTCAGAGTGAAAAAGTTATATATTTTGAGGGCGATTTCTTTGTTCTTCGCTTTCTTTTTATTTGCTTCTCATTTTGTTACCCCCAACACTCTATTAGTTTAGCTTCTGTCACTCTATCGATATGAAGTGTCACAAGTTAAATCAGGGACAAACAATGATTTTAAAATGAGCTGAGATAGTTTATACTTGATGTAGAAAACTATAAGAAAACTCGACGGACCATGATTTTAAAATGAGTTGAGACTGGTGCAGGGGGTTGGCATTTATAGGCCACTATCAATATGGGATAGAGTTTAGTTTTAATCTCAGGAGTCCATCATGGTTGGTCGAACGAAGCATTGCTACTAGGGGTGGGGCATTTGTAATCCGCTATCAACCCTGACATAATTTATACTAAAGTCATCACTTTTAACGTAGTAACCCCCTTTAAGAAAAATAAAAAATTGCTCTGCCGCGCTGCAGTGAGCCAAAAAAGTTTGAGTGCATTGGGTGCTGAAACGTGCCAAACTCAGGGTGTTGTTTTTCAGGTCTGCTACTATTCACCCATTACTATTCATATGCTCCTAAACCCTAAACCATCAATTTTATTTATTTTTTCATGTTAACTTTTTTTTTTCCCTTACCATAACACCAAACTATCACTTCATGTTCAACAAAACGTATTTGCAATTAAAAACTTTCTTATAATCCATGTCAAAACATAGTAAAAAACAAGGATATAAATAAATATAAATATAAAGGTATTTGAATCTAAATAAAGTAAGGTAGGAAGGGAAAAAAAAATTAAATGGAAAAAGAAAAATACATAAAATAAATAAATAAAATAGAAAATGATACAATCGGTACTTTGCTACTAATTGTAAAGAGGATTAGTCGCTAAGAAAAGTAGCTATAGAAGCTTTTATTAGTTGGTACTTTTCTTCTGATTATCTAGAGGACTAGTCGCTACAAAAGTAGCTATATCACGTCTTATTAGTCAGTATTTCGCTACTAATTTGCTGCAAAATTGGTCGCTCAAAAAGTAGCTATAGACTAGGAATAGTCGCTGCTATAATACCGATCCTCCCTTTTCAATTTTTTTCTTTTTTAGTTATTATTATTATTTATTTTTGTTAATTTTTCTTTTATTTCTCTTAGCATAACAACAAACTATTATATTTATGTACTTCAAAATAAATTTTTTCGTGCAAAATCTATTATAATTCATATTTAAACATTTGTAACCAACGATTTAAAACCTAAATTTAAAGATATTTGAATTTAATAGTGGTTACTCAAATAAATAAATAAATTGGAATAGGGAAAGATCGGTATCATGCTACCCATCCTTGCCCAACCGTACATAAATCACTGTTCAATCTATTTATTTTTATCTTCGTCTCATCGTGAAGTTTTGAAAATTAAGATAAGTCTTTCCTTTGATATTTTTGAGGGTGGAACCCAATTTGACAATGTTTTGAGCCTCACTATTATATTTTTCAACTTATTTTTTTAGTTTTTGGCTTAAATCATCTACTAAATATATATTTATTACTCAATAAATTGTAAATCGGATTCCAGATACCTTATAAAGTTTTCCTTTATGCTCATGAAAAAATATTTTTCAAAAATAAAAATATTTGTATTTTTGAGAAAAAAACGTGGGCTAACACTCATGGTTTTTAGTCAGTTTTGCAAATTCGTACATAAATCATCCTTCAATCTATTTATTCACCTTCGCCGATCACCGTGAAGTTTTGAAAATTAATGTAAGACTTTCCATTGGTATTCTTGAGGGTGATACCCCTTTTTTATAATGTTTTGGGCCTCCCTACTATATTTTTCACTTACTTTGTAGTTAAATATTCTACTAAATATACATTTGTTACTCAATAAATCGTAAAACTACTTCAAACACCTTATAAGGTACGCTCATGGAAAATATTTCACAAAAAAAAAAATCACACTTTTCACAAAAAACATGGGTGTAAACTCACGGTTTTTAGTCGGTTTTAAAGATTTGTACTAAAATCATTGTTCAATCTATTATTTTCACATTTGCCTCACTGTGAAGTTTTGAAAATTATTGTAAGACTTTCCGTTGATATTCTTGAGGGTGGAACCCCATTTTGACATGATTTTGGGCCTCGCTACTATATTTTTCATTTATTTTTTTAGTTTTCGGCTTAAATATTCTACTAAATATACATTAATTGCTCTACAAACCGTAAAATTGCTTTCAAATACCTTATAATGATTTCCTTAATGTTCACAGGAAATATTTCAAGAAAATAAAAGATTTGCATTTTTCACAAAAAATGTGGGTTAACACTCATGGTTTTTAGTTGGTTTTGCAAATTCGTAAATAAATCATCATTTAATCTATTTATTTTCACCTTCGCCTCACCTTGAAGTTTTGAAAACTAAAGTATGACTTTCCGTTGAGATTCTTAATGGTAGAACCCCATTTGACAATGTTTTGGTTTTTCACTTATTTGTTTACTTTTTGACGTAAATAATCCACTAAATATACATTTGTTGCTCAGTAAATCATAAATCAGCTTCCAAGTGTCTTATAAAGTTTTTCTTAATGCTCAAGAAAAATATTTCGCAAAAATAAGAAATTTGCATTTTTGACAAACAAACATCGGTTAACCCTCACGATTTTAATTGGTCCTGCAAATTCGTACATAAGTCATCCTTCAATCTATTTATTTTCACCTTCGCCTTACCGTGAAGTTTTGAAAATTAATGTAAGACTTTCCATTGGTATTCTTGATGGTAGAGCCCCATTGAAATGTTTTGGGCCTCATTAGTCATTACTATATTTTTCACTTATTTTTTAGTTTGCGGCTTAAGTATTCTACTAAAAATACATTAATTGCTCTGTAAATCGTGAAATTGCTTCCAAATGCCTTATAAAGTTTTTCTTAATGCTCATGAAAAATATTTCGAGAAAATAAAAATTTTATATTTTTCACAAAAAACGTGGGTGGTTTTTAGTCGTTTTGCAAATTCGTACATAAATCGTCATTCAATCTATTCATTTCACCTCCGAATTGAGTTAGTAGTTATGATTGCCAAAGGTCAAAGTAAACCAACCCAAAACCCTAATATTAACTTATTAACTGGTTTGCGCATGAGCGTTACTGTTTTTCTAAATGCGTAAACTTGTACTTTGTTAACGAAGGTGTGCAGGGAACATGTAGGTACCAAACGAGAGTAGATTATATATTGGGATCTACAAATTCACCTTACAAATTTGTTGCTAGATCATGCTCAGTGTTTTCTTCCAAGGAGACATCAGATCATCATATAGTAAGAGTTAATGTTGTAAAAGTGGATAACTGTGTTGAAGAAAATGACACCAGAAGAAGGCAGCTGAAGCTAAAAGTTACCAAGATAACAAACACTACTTCCCCATCAAAAGGGAAATGGAAAATCCCACATATATGAAAAGAGTGGTGTAATTCGAACCTCTTTTTTTACCTACATATTGTTTTCAATTTCCGATCGTCAAGTCAAATAAATTGAAAAAAGATCAAAAGACAGTAATTAACATAGAATGTGTAGAAGGTAAAACGGAATGTGTCGATAGTACAACCATATGAAATAAAAAAATATATAGATTAATAATTGACTTTTACTTTTTATAGTTTAGATTTAGGGTTCGGTTCGTTGAAGAGAAGGCAGGCTTTGGCTTTGAATTTGCTTTTATCTCCTGCGGTTGGTAAAGTATTTCTGTCCACATGGGTGATTGTTACGGATAGAACATATGAAAGGAAAATTTTCACTTCTTCAATTGTACAGCAGAGTGAAAAAGTAAATATCTTGAGAGTGATTTCTTTGTTCTTCGCTTTCTTTTCATTTGCTTCTCATTTTGTTACCCCAAACATTGAATTTTGAAACATGAATTTACCCTCTATGCTCATCTTTTTGTCATTTTATCGATATGTGTGTCACAAGTTAAATCGGAAACAGACCATAATTTTAAAATGAGTTAGGATAAACTTACTTGATGTATAGCTTAAAATGAGTTGGGATAAAGATATGGTGTCTCAAGGGTGGCTTTCAGGCCATCTTCAACCGAAGGGTCCAGAGGGCCAGAGGGCCGAAAATAGCCCGAAAATCGTCTCCAACCGAGGGCTAAGCCAGAGGGCTCTAGAATCTGAGAGGGCCCCACGGAATCAAAGAGGGCTAGAGGGCTGGAATGCTGGCTGCAAGCAGCCAGCCAGCCAGCCCGTGGTTGGCCAGAAATACTGGGAATCCTGTCGGTTTTAACCAACAGGAATGCTTAAGAAAAAAAAAATTTCAAATGCAACGGCTAGCTGATGTCAGCTAGCTGTTGCATTTAATTTTTTTTTTTTATAGTTTTATTATTATTTTTTGTTTACAAAATTTTTCTTATAACTTCTATTTTTAATATTTTTTTTAAATTCTATTTTTTCCTATAACTTTTATTTTACAAAATTTGTTTCATTTTTTTTTTAAATTCCATTTTTTCCTATAACTTATATTTCACATAGTTGCTTTATTTTATTTTAAATTCTATTTTTATCCTATAACTTCTATTTAACAAAATTTGTTTCATATTTTTTTTTAAATTATATTTTTTTCCTATAACTTCCTAAGCCATTATACAACATTAAATTAAATTAAGTAACATGAAACAACATTAAACAATATGAAATAACATTAAATAACATTAACCAACGTACAAATTATACAACATAAAAAAAAACATTTAACAACATGAAACTTAAACAACATTTTAAAAAACATTTAATAACATAAAACTTAAATGCCTACTCCATGCTTCTTTTGGCGCAAAGATGTGCAACAAGATCATATTGTAGGTACTTGTTTGTGGCACGAGAACGTATCATTCTATAACACCTCATGTACTCATTTATAGAGATACTACCAGTTCTTGGATTGAAAGGCAAATTAGGCCCATCATATATTTTTGCACGAGCCCTTCTTGACCTATTTGGATCTTCTTGGTCGTCATCGGACTCTCTGTCAATATACTCATCTCGTTCATCCTCCACTATCATATTGTGTAATATGATGCAAAACATCATAATGGAGTCCAAATTTTCTCGATTCCACCCTTTTGCCGGTTCGCTAATAATCTTCCACCGTGCTTGTAGTACCGAAAGCTCTCTCAACATCTTTCCGGTATGCCTCTTGGTGTAAGGTAAACAACTTTTCTGCGTCATTCCTAGGGTTTGGAATTGCTTGGACAAGTGTCACCCACTTTGGGTAAATTTCATCTGCCAAGTAATACCCCATATTGTATTGACGGTTGTTGATGTAGTAGTGAAGTTGAGGTGTTTTACCTTCCGTCAAGTTATTGAAGAGGGGTGAACGCCCAAGAACTGTAATGTAATTTTGGGATCCAGGGACTCCAAAGAAAGCATGTCAAATCCATGTGTCATATGAGACAACCACCTCTAACACAACAGTTGGCTTTCTTGACCTTTCGCTAAAGCCTTCTTGTCATCCAGTGGGACAGTTCTTCAAATCCCAATGCATGCAGTCTAATGACCCTATCATGCCCAGAAACCCACAGTCTTCAGCTTTGCGAATGAGCCAATTCAAATCTTCTTGATTTGGCTCACGGAGGTACTCGTCTTTGTGAACCTGAACAATTATGTCACAAAATTGTTGAATAGTATCAAAGCATGTAGACTCAGACATACCATGGGTTTCATCCATCGAATCACCTGGAGAGCCATAGACCATCATTCGAAGTGCAACAGTAACCTTCTAATGAGGTGAGAAACCAAGGCAGCCTGCTCTGTCCAGCTTCTGTCGAAAGTATGGATTGACTTGCTGGACATCACGAAGTAAACGCTCGAAGACATGATGCCTCATCCGGAAGCGACGTCTGAAATCCTCTTCTGTGTACACCGAGTTGGGGTTGAAGTAGTTGTTCATCAGATTGGAATGCGACATCGCTCTGTTTCGTGGTTTGTAAGATCGACTAGCAATAGAGCCACCCCATTGAGGTTGTTCCTCAATTGGCTGACACACCATGGTCGCAGCCATGGCTGCTGCCATGTTTTGTTTGTTGCGCCTTACTTGAACTTCTTCATCACACTCCTCATCTTCTCGTCTCATTTGCACCCATTTTGCTTCCAATTTGGAATTGGATGAGGACCCCCAGTTGGAATCCGAAGAGGATCCAAAGTTGGAATTCATTGCAAACTTGAATTGAAAAAGATTGAATTCAAAGTTGTGTGAATTATAGCCCAATATTCACCCTATTTACAGCAAAAGAAAAATTCAAATCCAACGGCTAGCTGACGTCACTTAGCCGTTTTTAATTTAGGTTGTAGTTTTTAAATAATAAATTATGTTTGGCCTTATGGCCCTTTGGCCCTCGTTGGAAACGGTTTTTTGTGGCAGGGCTAAAACGAGCCATCTGGCCCTCGGTTGGAGACGGAGGCAAATATGGCCCTGTATTATTCATTAAAATATTAATATCTTGGAGAATCTTGGAGGGCCAAAGGGCTAAAACGAGCCTTCTGGCCAGCCATCGGTTGGAGATGGCCTCACATTCTCGCTCTTTCACACAACAGTTTCACGTTATTATTCTATAGTTAACTTTTGGTTAGAAAATGTGAGTCATCTGAGAAGTTATACTGTTAAAAAAATTTGGTTGACCTATAGCTTATGTTTTTCTTGAACAAAAAATAACGTTATTGGGTTTCAACAGCACTGGTTGCTCTTGCACCGAAGCATTATTGCTAAATTAAAAACTAAAACAAATAGTGTCCATTTAGAGCCTAGTGCAGGAGTACAAGTTCTTGGCGGCCATATAAAAGCAAGGGTAAATCTATGTTTACTACCTTCATGTTTCGTGGTTTTCAATATTTAGTACATCAAGTTTTTTTCATTCTAGAGTCATACTTAAAGTGTAAATTTTGGGACAGTCTCATACATCCGTTAGAGTAGCTGTTAACTCTGCCGTTAACTGATGATGTGGTGCCTATGTGGACAATGACTGGACGCCACGTGTTATTAAAAGGTCCACGTGGAAATTAAAAATTCAAAAAAATAATTATTTAAAGAAAAGTTAAAAATATAAAATATAAAAAAATATATATATAAAAAATAAAATAAAAAAAAAAGCAAAACCTCGTCTTCCTCAAATCCCCCCGTGCCCGCCCCTCCCACCCACACCCAGATCTTCCCGTCCCCTCCCTCCTTCTCCCTCTCTTCTCTTCACTGCACCCATCCTCCCAGCAAACCCACCCATTCCCTCCCATTCTTAGCTCCAGAGACCACACAACAAACAAGCCCACCTCTCCAATTCTTAGCTCGGCTTTTCCTCTCTAGGATTTGAGAGAGACAGAGAGAGAGATTATGAAGCTCTCGGCTTTGCACCTAGAGCTACCTCACCCGACGGAGCAACACCTTCAGGGGATCGGCGCCGTTGGACTCCACATCAGACGGCAAGTCGCCGGCGACGGTGTTCTGGCTACTACTCCACGGCCTCTGCTGCCTCATCAGCCTCTTCCTTGGCTTCCGCTTCTCTCGCCTTGACTAATTGGTGATGATTTGCATCAAGTTAATTCATAAAATCATTTATTAAGTCTTTCGATTTAAGTTGCGATGGGTTTGGAATAGATACTATCTTTCTTATTTGTTTGATTGGAATGTGATTGGAAGTGGGCAGATGGGTGGGTGTGCGAGGTGGGTGGGTGTGCCGGGAGGGTGAGTGCAGAGGAGAGAAGGGAGGGAGAAGGAATGGAATGGGTGGGTTTGCAAGGAAGAAAAGGGAGAGAGGAGGGAGGGGACGGGTAGACGGGAAGATCTGGGTGTGGGTGGGAGGGTGGGCACGGGGGGATTTGAGGAAGACGATCTGGGTGTTGGGGAAGACGATCCGGGTTTTGCCTTTTTTTTTTTTTGCTTTAAATAATTATTTTTTTTGAATTTTTAATTTTCACGCGGATCCTTTAATGATCACGTAGCGACCATTTATTGTTCACATAGGCGCCACATCATCAATTAACGGTAGAGTTAACAGTTTGACTAACGGATGTATAAAACTGTTCCAAAATTAACACTTTAGGTATGACTCTGGAACGAAAAAAACTTTATGTACCAAATATTGAAAACCACGAAACTTAAGGTAGTAAACTACTATTTACCCTAAAAACAATCAAGTGATTGGGTCATCACATATTAGTTGGCCGAATTGGAGTAAAGGCAACATACAAAGCGCCAACTCTCTCTTTGCACATCGAGAGTACGCTCTTTAATCTTTGTCTTTCTTCGCACAGGTTAAGTCAGGCGATGTGAAGATAGAACAAAGAGAAATATATATAGTCCGTTATAGTTAAGTTTCTCTTCAACACTAAGCATTATACTAAATACGGCCTTGAATGTTTCAATATCACCATTTGGTTTAATGGCGAGTATCCAAAACTGTACATGCCTTATCGGAAAAAAATTACAAAAAAAGCTTACGTAAGAGCGGCCATCATACTTCACATGCCAACTCTCATAAAAATATAAAATATCTTTTATCTTAATCTCATTTAACCCCATACTAATTCCCATAAAAAACTGATCTAATAAGAGAGTTTATCGAAACTTCCCTCCTAGTTTGTTTCAACACACATTCAAACAAATTGCACGGTAAATAAGATGATGTTATTATTATTTTTTTGGTCGGATAAATATCCAAAATACAACTTATCAAATTCAAGAACTAAGTAAAACCTTGCTCAAATCACTTATTAATCCGACCTCATCTAAGGCTGGTTTGGTATTGCTGTACTTTGAAAAAAAGCTGCTGTGAGAATAAGCGGCTGTGCTGTGAGAATAAGCGACTGTGAAATAAAGCCAGCAAAGTGTTTGGTAAACTTTTTTGTAAAAGTGCTTTTGGAAACAAAAAGCAGTATCATAGTGTTTGGTAAACTTTTTTGTAAAACAGCTGTGACTGTGTGAAATGACCAAAAAGGGTATATTACTAGATGTGCTATTAATTTAATTTTCTTAACAAATAAAAGTGAATTACTAAATATATTTTATTTTTAGAAGAAAAATATTTATAAACTTTATCTTAAATATTAATTAGTATGACAGACTACTTTAATAGAAATATTTTAGAGTGAATAGCTAGGATTCATTAGTACAATATTGTTAATGTACTTGAAAGTAGTCTAATTAGATGCATTCATCAAACTTGTTATTCTATTTCTTAATGCCTCTATCTCATGTGATCCTTCAACTTGATAATTTTGATATTCATCATCATCATCATCACTACTATCGCTTTCTTCACAAAAGTCCCTGGGGTCATCAAAATGACGATCACATTCAGAATACCTCCGTATGTAGTTATGAAGAGCCATTGTAGCAATGACAATCTTCACTTGCTTATTGAACGGGTAATTAGGCATATCCCTTAAAATTGCCCATCTTTTCTTCCACACCCCAAAAGTTTGTTCAATGATGCTCCTAAAAGAAGAATGCCTGTGGTTGAATACCTCTTTGTGACCCGTTGGTTCGGCACCCCTACGAAACCACATGGGTGCAAAACACGATTGTCCTTTCTCCTTTAGGGCTAAGAATTGAACTCTTACCCTAGATATGATGAGATTCAATTGCTCCCTTGCTGGACAAAGCCCAAGGCAGCAGCATTCTAGCTCAATTTTTTAGTGGAATCACCTTAATCTCCTTCTCTTCTCCAAAACACGGCAATATAAAGACATGAAAGAGAACTCGGCTCGTACGCCGGGCTCAAGAGGACGGTTGCCCTAGGAGAGGGCCTTGAGCCTCAAATTGAATCATCCAAAACGCAGTCAAGAAAATGGCCTGAGGCCACTAACAAAGTCTCAAATCGCACAAAACTACTAATGTTATTCAACTTATAGAATAGCTCATGGCTTTGAAGGTTCGGTGCAAGTTCACCGTGAACTCAAGGGTTTAACAAGAGCGGACAATGATCAACAAATCCGCAGTTACAACTTCAATCGTTCAACTACTAAGCAAACTTTGGACTAATCGTGACCCAGATGAGCATAGGATTTTAGGCTCCACAAGCTTTCAGAAAGCTAGCTCCCATTTTCACCAAGATATTTACATAGCTAGCCTTCCATTTATTTCACCGGGCATTTTCCCTCCGGCGCACGTAACGTGTTCTATCATTGTACCTTGGTCTGTCCTGAGCTCTTGACGGCTGTGGCTCCACCCTCCTCTGCCTTTCAGGCGACCTTTGAACAATTTCTCCATTCACAAACAACTCAGCTGCATTAAAGAAAGTTACAATCATGAGTTACAAGAATAGGTTGCATTTAGAAGTTTGAAAATAATTGAGAGAGAATGAACAAATTGCAGAACAAGCATCCATTTAAAACAGCGGTGAACATGCAATAGTGGCAAACCATTTAGCAGGAGAACAGTATACAATGCAGATATGTACATACTTGTTTCTAAATAAAAAGTTATACCTTTTTTTAACAAGGAATTTTGTATAATCTGAAAGAAATCAAAGTTAACAGCTCCGAAATAACACGAATGAATGAGAGAAAATGGAACCGCACAGGAGTTACAAGTCTGAGGTGAATGAACTTTCACGTGACAAATTCTAATAAAATGTATCTACTCCAATGATTCCGAAACACCACAACGTTCAAGAAGCAACAGAACAGGATGAAGTGAATCATTATAAGTCCATTAGCATTCAAAGCTAGGCATTGCCAACTGAGGGCTATTAGCTTTGCCAAGATGGACTGCAAGTTACAGTATCAGCAAGGTTGTCTTTTCAAGGATAAAGGTCATGAAATGTATCAACTCCAATGATTCCGAAACTCCACAACACTCAAGAAGCAACAGAACAGGATGAAGTGAATCATTATAAGTCCATTAGCATTCAAAGCTAGGCATCGCCAACTGAGGGCTACTAGCTTTGCCAAGATGGACTGGGAGTTAAACAAAAAGAA